GCGTAGTGGCATCCTGTCGGGTAGCTTCGACGGGCTCGCCGTCCTCCGCGATCGTGATTGGGACGAGTGAGCAGCCCGACACTTTGCCCTGGGACCAAGTGACTTTCGCCAGCGCGCCGATGTTGGACAGCGTGGTCTGCAGACTGCTCCAGTCATAAGGGGGGTATGTGCGCCAGCTGTCGGCGGGGGTGACGATGTTGTTGCTGAAGATGAAGTTTCCCAGGGAGTAGAAGATGGGGCACCCCTCGTGCCATTCCACGCCCTGCACGACGTGCGGGTGGTGGCCGAAGACGGCCGACGCGCCGGCCTCGACCATCGCGCGCGCCAGGGGCCGCTGGTACGTGGCGACCTCGTCCTGCGTCCTGTGGATCCACCCGTACGGCACGCCCCAGTGGATGGCCACGAGGACGACGTCGGCCCGGGTCCTCGCGTGGCGGATCGTCTGCAAAAGCATCTCCTCGTCCGGCTTGTACGTCTCGGTCTCGACGAAGGGCGCCATCCCGGGGGACTCGTCGATCGTGACCGTGTCGACGACGTATTTGCTGAAGACGCGGACGCCTGCCAGGCCTGGCCGCGATGCGCCCGCCCCGGCGCCGTTGGGCAACGTCGTCGTCACGCCCATGTACGCCACCCTGACCCCGTTGAGGGTCTTGAGGAACGGCGCGTACGCTTGGAAAATGTCCGCCCCGGTGCCGACGTGGGCAACGCCGACTCTGTCGAGGGCTTGCGACGTCATGCGCAGGCCCTCCATGCCGTAGTCCATGGCGTGGTTGTTGGCGACCGTGACGACGTCGACGCCAATCTCTCGGATCACACTCGCGTGCTGCGGATCGCATCTCAGGGCGATCAACTTTTCCGCGGGATACCCGTCTTTGCAGAATGGCATTTCGAGGTTCGCAAAGCACGAGTCTGCCGCTCGGAGCCTGTCGTACACGGTTCCAGGGCCCGGCGTCCGGTTGAGCTTGTCATTGAGAACAATGTCTCCTGCGGCAAGGATCGATACAGACATGAAGGGCTTGATGAGTGATTCTTCACAGTAAAATACTTCTTGAATGCAGTCAGGTATTTAGAAGTGAGATCTGGGGATTGTCGTTGCTTGCTATGTCCGGGGATCAAATACGCCCATGTGCGTGGCAATAATAAAACCACAATTACCTGTTAGAGGGTTCATCTTTGCACAATATGTCAGAATACACAACGTGATACCCATGGCTAGCTAGTTCTCTTCAGTGTATAACCAGTGCGGATAACTTTTCAGTTTCATTACCCTGCCGGGACCCTGACAACGGCACAAAGCGACTCTTGACCTGGTAGGCTAGGGTGTGAGACCTATCAGCCTATCCGACTACCTCGTACATGGATCCAAGACGGGTTTGAGCGTAGACCACACCTGCCGAAGCGCTTTTCACCGATGCCAATGTGGGGAAGAGAATATCCTGGAAAGGCTAGTCCGGCTCTTAGTTGATGCTTCAGTATGTCGAATGCCGAATCTTGTGGGTCCAGCAAAGAATCCCTGATTAGCAAGCAAACCCGATGTGATAAGGTGACAAGACCCCATTTCTTCAGAGAATACTGTTACGCCGGAGTATCGGGGACGGAGAAATAGAGGATATATGTTCAAAAGGGACTTGATATCCCGTCCCGTCATCAAAGAGTGTACACTGTATTTCTTGTTCATATCAGTTCTTCCTCGACAATAGTACCAAGTAAGCTTACAATGGCCGCTCCATATACCGTCCACACGTCGACGCTGTTCGACCCGAAGAAAAAGGCATTTGTCAACGATATCTCAATCACCGTCAACCCCAAGACAGGCCTGATTGAGGCAGTCTCGCAAAGGCCGGCGGGGTCGCTGGGTGATTCGGTCCCAGAGGGTGATGTCGACCTTCGCGGAAGGATTGTCATGCCGGGTTTTGTGGACGCGCACACACACGTCTTTCTGCACTCATACGAGTCAGTGTCTCTCCTCTCAAACCGTTGTAACGCAAAACCTGATGCTTGGGTACAGTGAACGAGCATCGCTGGTGCAGAAACGCGACGAGAGCACCGTCGAAAGGATTGTCCGCGCTGTGAATCACGTCCGAACAGCTCTGCTTGCAGGCTACACGACCTATCGGTAAGATTCTCCCTGGATGCTCCTCCTATCTTTGGCTGTCTGGAAAAGTATCATCCCGCGGATTCCTTATGAATTGATAGGGATTTGAGCTCCGAGTCAATGGGAGAAGGCGACGCTCAGCTGCGCGACTGCATCAACCGCGGCTTCACGCCCGGTCCCCGGATGTTCGTCGCGACACGTGCTCTCGCCAGCACGGGATCCTATGAGCCACGCACAGAGAACTCTTCAGGCGGTGTGTGCCTTCCAATGGGGGGAGAGGCGGTCGACGGTCCAGAGGCAGTGCGCACCGCGGTGAGGCGACGCTTGGCCGCTGGGGCAGACGTGATCAAGTTCTTCGCCGACTACCGTCGCCGGATCATGCGATACCCGCCTGCGCAACAGCACCCTTACAAAGTCGGCGTGACGCATCCTCCGGCCGATCCGAACCCGGACCTGCTCGTGTTCGCCAAGGACGAGGTCGAGGCCCTGGTCCAGGAAGCTGCAATGGGAAAGGCACCTGTGGCATGTCACGCGGGTACCATCGAGGGCGCCAGGATCGCCATCGAGGCCGGTGTGCACACTCTGGAACATGCCTATTTCGCGGACAGAGAGCTCTTTGAGCTGATGAAGGCGAAGAACGTTGTCTTCTGTCCCACCCTTGCTGTCTGTGAGCGGGTCCACCACCGACGGTACCATGAGATCAAAGCACAGGCAAAGCTGGCCTACGACGTCGGCGTGCGCTTGGCCTGTGGAGGAGACACGGGCCCTTATCCCCACGGCCAAGGCGTGCGGGAAATGGAGCTCATGCTTGAGGCTGGTATTCCACTGGAAGATGTACTGGAGTCGTGCTTCGTGGGAGGCTGGGAGGCTTGCGGAGGAGACCTGTGCGGAATGCGGTTTGGATGGTTTGAAGAGGGGACGAGGGCCGATATCATCGCTCTCGCTACAGACCCGAGGGAGGATCAGAGTGCGCTGAGAAAGGTCGACTTTGTCATGAAGGACGGTCAGATCTGGAAAAGAGACGGAAAGGGTGTCGGACTGTATCATGACAACCACGTGTGGGATCAGACGGGTGCCTACGTCCCTCCTAAATAGTTTTAATGTGCATCATGTTGCGAAGACTTCTTTTCTTGTTGCGCAACTAGACTCTGTTTATACGGACACAGGCTCTTCTCAAGACCAAGAAGTAGCTATTATGCGCCAGAGTATTGCCATCACACATAGGTCCTCAGCAGACTTGGATTCGAGCGAGTTAACCCGGACTTGGTAAACGCGTAATCTTGTGTTCGTTCTCGCCCGCATTCGACCATGAGACTCGGGTATGCGGCATTGATAAAAGGCCAACAGACCGTGGTAACCGGTATTATGGCTTGAAACAGACACTATCGCCCCATCCAGAGATGTCTAGAGGAGCCGCGAATCCCCGATCCACCCCCACGGCGACAGTCGAAAAGGTTACGACTGCCCTCGCTGAGATCCGTCTACCAGTGCGTGGCGCAGAGTTTGAAAGACGCGGGTTTTGAGCCTGTTGGAACTAAAGTCAAGAGATTTGGTGACCGTCCATGAGAATTATAAGATTCACACCTGTGAGGAGAAATCAATCTTCAAGGAATACTCCCCGTGTGGCACAGGTTTTGATTTTGCTCGTCTTTGTTGTTGTGATCCTTGTGCCATCAAGTTTGCGCAGGACATCTCCGAACCGACCAGATGGCGATCCAAAGCAGAGTTACCATGGACCATCCAGTGATCAAAACAGTCCATTGCTCGGGCACTCCTTACGAGATTGGCCATCAGCACGGCGCGGCTGCGGCTACTGAAGTCCACAGCAACATCAAAACATACACTGGCTTCTTCCAGGAAACAGCCCAGATCACTTGGGAGTCGGCACGAGAGCGGGCCGTGAGACAATTTGTTCCTACTCTCGATGCCAAGTATCCTGAAATCCTTGAAGAGATGGCCGGAATTGCCGCCGGGGCCGGTCGTGGTCTGACACGCGACGACATATTGACCCTCAACGTCCGCAGTGAGATCTGTCTGACCAACTACACGGACGGGTGTACGTCGATCAGCCAGGTAGGACCAGATGGAACAATGTTTCTGGCCCAGAATTGGGACTGGTTGGAAGAACTGCAAAACGGAATGGTTCTTCTACACATCCAACCCCAAGGGTCTGGTCATGAAATGAGATTTCTCGGCGAAGCCGGTATCGTTGGCAAAATAGGCATGAACAGTGCTGGTTTCGGCTTGTGCATGAATGCCATCCGCTCCGGCGCTTTCAATAACGCCAATCTGCCCGTTCATGTCATGTCGCGTCGTCTCCTGCAATTCGCCACGAGCGTTGACGAGGCGCTTGCCATCTTGAACGAATTTGGCTTGGCCAGCACAAGCAACTATATGTTTGCCGACGCAGAGGGCAGCCATGTCGATGTTGAGTGTTCTCCAAGGGGTAACGTCTTGATCTCGCCACACGATGGATATGTGGCACACACAAACCATTTGTACGGACCCGATCGACCCCTTAAACTGGTTGATCACCCTGCCGCGAATTCTTTCTCCCGACTGGACCGCATACGAGAGCTCACTTTGGCCGATGCGAAGGCCAGCACACCCCTATCATTTCAATCTCTTCGTCACCGACTCTCAGATGAGCAAGGGTTGCCATTCTCAATATGCAGGGACAGACCTGCTGGGGCTGTGGGGATGGAAAGAATGACCACCTTAGCTTGCATTATGATGGAGTTAAAGAGTCGTACAGGCAAGGTGTTGATCGGTCGACCATGCGATAGTCTACCCACTGTAGAATGGGCATTTTAGATAGAAGAAACACCTCGCAGCGTGTTGAAAGAAGAATAATAGAGGGTTCCCTCGAGAGTTTCTGTGCGGAGAAGCATTGCATCGTGGCCGACTATAGCACTTGCCAGAGTGTTTCGACCACTGTCTCCCAGGCATTCACAAAAGCTGATCCGGCCTTCCACCGTGCTGAAAATGACGCCAGCAGGCTGGACACTTTCACGATTGGCCCCAGCGCGGGGCCGGGCCCCGTTGCAGATATGGTCTGCAGTCGTGGGCCTGATAGGCGGTGTTGGTGAACAAGACCAGCGGCCCAGATGACACCAGCTATAAGTACATGCTCAGCTGTCATCCATATACTGATGATGGAGGTGGTTTGGTTCAATCGAGTGTAATGGTCGATAAGGACAGAGGCAGATTCAGTAATCAGGTGCACCATTCTGGGGGACGGAGCGTTCATACCGACACCGTTTCCGAATCTGTCCGAGTCGATAAAGAGCGGACTCAGAGCAAGATAGAGCCGGGCAGAAGACAAACTAATCTCAGACCCTGCCGAGGCCACCTGGAGAAATTGGGGGATTAGTGCCTCGAGATATCTCTCGCTTGGAACTGGCACCGTGGCCAGGGTTCGGTGAATACGATGTAGTGAACTTTCAACACCAAGCTCATTCGAAAGTGCATGTAGAGGAGAGACATGGTCGGCTGATGGTCGCAAATAAGTTTGCAAGAACAACGACGGACGTCCGAAATGAAGAGATGCCAAACTATTGGAGCCGATGTTAAGTCGCGAGCACAAAGTAGAGAAGAACATGTGATAAATACCTTTCCAGCTTGAGGAGGACACGCTCGAGCCTTTCCAAGTCGGGGTCGAGGTTGGGCTGTCCAAGCGGTCCAGCCGCCTGCAAGTCTTCCATTGTCGAAGCAGCCCTTCCCAAAAGATCCCAAAGTTGCCCAGAGCTTGGAGAGATCAATTCAATCATGGATAGTGCACATAGAGCAGTGCATGCCCATCTGAGTGTATTGCTTGAAACTCGACATCCTCCATTGCAGAGAGCTAGCTTCTCGACATCCTCCCTGAATCGGGAAGAAATGTTGGACAGGATGGGATCGACATCTCGAGTAATCAGAGCAGATGAGATGGCAAAAATGATGGTCAGCGAACACGCCATTGGGTCGTCTTTGTTCGACCCAGCCCATTTCAAAGGGTTTTCGTACGTTGACAGATCTGACTCATGCTCAATGGGAAGGAGGGCATACTCGGTTGCTACCGTTCGGAAGTAATTCTCGATGATGGCGCGTTGCGTCGATGGCGGTACGAGGGAATGCAACTCTACCTTCCGCAAGTCAATGTTGGTCAGAAAGGAGGTCATGGAGCGTGGCTCGTCAAGATTTGTCGAATGAAATGGAGAATTGGGAAATAGGTGCCTTCCTAGGTGCAAATTGTCGGTCATTTGCCCTCGACCCGTGGACTTCAAGAAGGACTGAATAAGTCGAGCTGAAGTTCCGGGTCCCAGATAAGCGATTCGTGTTGGCGACGGAAGTTCGTCACAAGCCGCCACTTCCAGGTGATATCCTTGCATGGATAGCGGCACTGCTTCGAACTCTGACGATTCGCTGGCGCTCTCTTGATCGGCAGTTTGCTGGATCTCCAGCTGAAGTGCCTGAACCTTTTGTTGCAGGGAGAAAAGATACCTGGCTTTATGAGTCTCGTTCATAAACAAGATACAGAGATGAACACGAACGCGCATGGTATTTCCTCTCCAATGGAATCATCCCAAAAGAAACACTCAACGTCAGCTTGTTGACAATGTCGACAGGCCGGCAAAGCACGATCACACTGTCATTGACACGAAAGTCAGTTGTAAAATTCAAACTCGTCGACTCCTCAAGCTGTATCGTCGTTCTCACCTTGATTCTCCGCTTGCGACATCTAGTACAGACTTGAAAAGCCATGCTCAAGGTATCCGACCACTCAAGTGGAGTGTCCATTGACGACAATTCATACGCTGCTGGTTTTTTCTGAGGAGAGTTCTGGTGTCGAAGGTTTTCCCTAACAAAATACCTGTCCGGGCTTGGACGGCACCACGTGATGGTTCTTGGACGAGGTGCGACTTAATTGGAATGTCAAAACTACTCGGTATATACCGACAAAAATAATTGGGCATTTACTAGTGCACTAGCGGACCATCATTATAGTACCTTAGCAATGGTAACCCTATCAGTCACATTCTGTTTGTATGTACACGTAAATCACTGATCACGCCCATGTACCTCGTACCAATATGAGTACTCGGTATGCTCTATATAGTCACGATGTTTCTCCATTGGGTCACACAGAACACAATACTGCCCTTCAAAAGCCATCTAGGATACAGTCAACGGGCTTGGCTGCACTTTAGATCCCACGCCGTCAAGATAATAGACACCAAGCTGATCATAATGTGACCCGTATGGGAATTGCTCAATGTCCAGTGTTTTACCTATTACGCTGTAGTCTCCTCATGTGAAGAATGACAACCCGGCATTTTAATGCGTATACGCCACCAACCGAGCTCTGTGAGAAAGGATCTTTTGGTATGATTGCCGGATTGGTAAGCGCGTGCCACACAATCAAGTCCCGAACCTGTCGAGAATACGCGATCTGAATGTTATCCCCTAAGGTGAACCCATCATTTTTGCGACAAGCTGACAAAAAAATTCCCCGTCCGCGAAGTCCAGCACCGGCCTAAACCGCATTTGACAAAGACGAGGCTGATCGCAATGGCGACACGACGTTAATTAATAATAATAGGGACTGGCGACTGCCCAACTTGGTGCAAAAGTCCGCTCAACGGCTGAAGTCTAAGGTCGTAGGGCAGGTGGACCCTTGGGCTGTCGACCTATTCACCCTTCACTTTGATCCTGTCATTCTGGGATGTGGGGTTGGCTATACGAACATACGACATGATCGTGGGTTGTGGCCCAGAGTACAAAGAGGGCAAAGAGTGACTTGTTTGGATCCTTGATTTCATCTGCTGAGTTTCTGACGCAGAGATAAAGAAAGGAAAAGAGAGGATAAAAATATGGCTCATGTCCAACCCACAACCCGCAAAGCATATCGTCGCACCGACGACTACACGCCCGGCAAACCGAGGGTCGAGCTCGTGACGGAACCGCTACCGCTTCCCCTCGCAGCCACGTCCGTCTTGATCAGGGTCCACGCCGTGTCCCTCAACTACCGAGACGCCAACATCGCCAACGGCGGGAACCCTTGGCCGGTGACGCCGCATGGAATCCTGTGCAACGACGCCGCTGGGGAGATTATAGCGGTGGGCGAAGGCGTGAGAAAGTTCCGGGTCGGCGATCGCGTGGCGCCCATCATCGACACGGAGAACCTCACAGGTCGAGAGTCGGCGAGGTCTTGGTTAGCCGCCGACGAGGACGGCGTGCTGGCGGATTACTTGGTCTTCAGCGAGGAGAAGCTCACAAAACTGCCAGAGCACCTGGACTGGGCAGAAGCCAGCCTCATCCCGTGCGCGGGAGTCACTGCATGGGCTGCCTTGAAGGATATCGGTGTGGGCAAGAGCATCTTGATCCAAGGTATGTTTGTTAAATGCAGCCCCAAAAGTTTCTTCACAGTGAAGGGGCCCATTTCCTTCGTCCCGCAAGCGCCAGCAACAACCCCTTCATCCAAAACTAACAAAAAGACGGTCAAAGGCACCGGCGGCGTCGCCATGATCGCTCTCAAGCTAGGCCGAACGGCCGGGCTCAAAGTGATCCTCAGCTCGTCGAGCGACGCCAAATTTGGGCGGATCAAGGCCCAGTTCCCAACCCCACCGCTCCTCACGGTCAACTACGCCAAAAACCCCCAGTGGCACCAAGAAGTCCTGGATCTCACGGGCGGTGCGGGCGTCGATCTCGTGCTGGAGATGGGTGGCACCCAGACCCTGGTCAAGAGCATGAAGTGTACCCGGCGCGGCGGGACCGTCAGCCAGGTCGGCTACTTGAGCAAGCAGAGCCTCGACGACCTGGCAGAGTTCGTCCCAGTTCTCATCGACCGGAGGATTATCTTAAGGTGAGAGAGAGCAAGACACAATACCCAACCCCCTGGAGTTTCCCACTTCCCTGCATACACATCCATTTCGCGGGGAGAGGGGGAAAACTAATGCTAGAACCAGGGGAATCAATGGCGGATCGAAACTCGAGCAGGAAGATCTCTGTGCCGCTATATCAGCCACCCAAATGAGGTTCAATGACATTATAGACAAGGTCTACGACTTTACCCAGGCTGATGAGGCAATCGAGGACATCTGGCAGGGGAGACAGGTCGGTAAGCTTGTGATTCAGATACCTTGAGGGACAAATCCCTCAGAATCTTCAGGGTATAGAAATCTGTTTTTGGGTGTTTGCAGTTGAGTCCCTTAACGGTGCAGCCCTTGACTTCGCACTCTATACGTATATAAATGCCAGTTCGAACAAAGATATTGAATGGTTGCCCTCGTGCAAGGTGTCCAACATTGTATTCCACGCACCAAACACACAGTGATGGCTTATCAACCATTTGTCTGGAGCAATCATGTATACGTCAGTGCCAGCTCCCCATTGCACAGCAGGAATCCAACTGCTGAAGCTCGACCATCTGACTTCCAGATTTTCAGACGCCATTATCCAGCTGTTCGACCCAGTCGGACATCCGACACCAGACAGATATCGATGCAGGCGAAGTTATTCGTCGTCATCACTGTCGAGCACCGTCCGTGCACCTTTTCGTCGTCCGTGACTCGCCGCTTTGTCTCTAGCCACTGGAGAAACACGTATCGGGGAGCTGTGGGTTTTGGCCTTGCATGCATTAATTTTTTTCGTCTTTGCAGAAACGAGAGCCTCTAGATCAGGAAGGTCATCATCCACGGCGTCGTAATCGATGCTTTGCTGGGATACGTAGAATCGTTTCTCCGCCTGGATCTCTCTCTCTTGGAGGATAGGTGAAGAACCCGGTATCTTCCGTGGAGGAGAAAACAGGTTATCATCGGTACTATCATCAAGCACCGATGTGACGGGTCGTCCAACCTCTGAGGGATGGGAAGGTCTGGGATCCGCTTCTTCGTCGTCGATGAAACTGTCATTGTCGTCATACTCGCCGATAGAGCTACTCCGGAAGGTGCCGCTAGATACAGCTGTTAGAGGAAGTGCTCGAGGTTTCGGGTTCGTTCTATGAGCTCTGTTCACATGCGTTGACTGTTCCGTTTCCAGCAACCTAGGCAAGGCCTCGTCGTCCTCTGGGAGCATCACATATTCCGATGGCCGACTCCAACCTTGTCTTGGATTCCGCATGGCTCTGAAGGCTCCCACCAAAGTCTTCGTTGTCCTTGAGTGTTTGACGGCAGCCGTCTTTCCGAGCTGCCGCTGTTGGTGTGGGTAAGCGTCGAACCGCACGATTTGGATGTACTCGTCTTCGGCGCCCGCGAGTCGGACATAGCGGTCTTCGAGATCCCTCTCCTCGGTTTCGGACAACAGCACGTCGTTCAAAGCAGGTAATGCGGCGAGATCGCGGTCCTTCTTCAACTCTACACGCTTTGCTGGAACCTCCTTAGTCTTGGATCTCTCGTTCTTCTTTCCATTCCCTAAGAAGGTGAAGCCCGTCTCAACGCCATCCGGCATATGGAACTTCTTCGGCGGCTTTTTGGCATTCTTGGGCTTCCGCCTCGCGGGCTCAACCGAGCCAGGCTGCGTATTCTCGACCGGAATATCCACCACACGTTTGTCGACCGCGGGTACGATTTCTTTAGGTACGATTCTCGCCGACGATTCTTCATGGAAATTGAACTCCTTGCCACTTGCAATCTTTTCCTGCATCTTTTGATAATTGTCCTCTGAGTGGGCAAAATCGGATTCTTCTTTGCCACGCATCATGAGCAAAACGATACTTCCGGCCCGCTTGCGCCCTGTCCGGCCCATGCGTTGTAGCATTCTGATAGGCGATTTCGAGCAATCATAGCACACAATCAAGTCGACTTCACCGATGTCGAGACCTTCTTCCCCGATTGACGTTGCGACAATAGTGTTGTACTTTCCCGCTTTGAATTGTTTGATAACGCTCAATTGCGTCTTCTGATCCATCCCTTCGGAGCCACCTTTCGTGCCTGACTGACCAACAAACACATGTGCTCGGATCATAGGACCATGGCGATTTAGTACTCTGACAATTTCCTCGGCACTGTCCCGATAGTGCGTAAAAATCATGATTCTAGTGTTCGAAGAACTGGCGTCGTTGCTACCACTTCGACTCTCACCGGCATCCATGAAGTGATTAAGCACGACCGTCTTCAAGTAAGACAGTTTGGGATGTCCGATAAACTCGGGGTTGTTAATCCACCCCTTGAGCCGAACCATCAGTTTCTTGAAGTTTTCATCGTCCACAATTTGTTTCGCGTATTTGCCGCCACCGGAGGCCTCGCCTGCAAAAATGTTCATCTTGTGGTAGAAAGGTCCAATGCCATGGTACTTCAACAATTCGATGTTATGCGCCAGACTCATTAGAGTAGAAGAAATAGCTTTGATCATGCCTTTCACAGAATGTGGAGCTCTTCTGCCAGCTTCTGACAATTGCCACCTTTCCCAAGCCTTCTTCAAACCGAAAAGGGTGATCATTCGCGGGTCCTTCCCCCAAGAAGCGCCTTGAGAGTGCAACTTGTTCAACAGAGGTTGCAGTGTTGCTGAAAGCATCTCTAACGACATGGTGATCTCGTCCGAGTTTTCAAAGATCTGGGTT